TTCATTTATCAATGCATTTATTAGATGGATTTATCAGTGACTTTGCAAAAGCAATTCATCATAGAGTTAACTATAATCATAATACACAATACCAGGTTTATTAGACTACTAAAATAGGAAGCAAGGCAGAACAGCACTTGTCAAGCCAGTTCACGTGACTTTGTGTTTAAAATAGAAGTTGCACCAACTATATACATATATATATATTTACAATATAATATTTTAAGATGTTTGTTGCTACACTATTTCTAGCAGCCTTTACGGTAACTGTCAGCAAACCCAAGCTGTCAGTTCTGCAGAACTACAGAAAGCAGCTCAATATCACAGCTCTTACCCCCTGCTCGTCCAGTTTGAGGAGCGTGTCTCTGACTTTAGGGGAAGTGGAGGCCAGTCTGAGGCAATGTAGGTTGAGATCGGGCAAAATAAACTCCAGCAGTCTCTTTGGCGAAAGGCCGCGTGGCGTGGTGTGGCGCGCTGCGGAGGGAACGGACTCCTCCAGGATCGAACCTCTCAGGGTCTTCAGCTGCAGAAAAACAGCAGGGACCAAATAATGAATGAGTGCACAACCATAATGTAGATTTAAAGGGGTCATATATCATATACATTTCTTATATTTATTTTCCCCACTGAGGACGATAATGTAATGTAGATTGATTTACAAGGCATTTGAATCTTGAGTCAGAATTTCATCTTACTTTTTGACCAAATAAAGCGGCTGCACCAAATGTGTGTATGTATTTCTCAGTTTGGGCTTCTGAATAAAATTGAGGTGTTTTTTACTCCTCTTTCACAGCTTCATATTATCTTATACTATATGAGCCATAAAAGCCTGATTTATCAAATATAATACTCAACAAAAACACATATGCAAACTTTTTTAAATATTTTTTTTAGCAATGTAAATGCATTCATAAATATATTAATGTAACTAATAATGATTAATAATATAATGTTCAAATTTTGATTTAAAAAAAGAAAATGAAAGGGGAAATTTGTGCAAAAACATTCTAGTGATCATCTCCTAATTACCTAATTTCTGAGCATTTTTCTCTGGTAGACATTAAAAGCATTTTGAATGGACCTCAAAGAAAAAAAAATGATATAACTCCTTTAAATTAATGTGTGAAATGTTTCAAAATCTTTAATGACATCTGTGTGTGAGAGAGTGTTGTATTTACTTCAGTGGTCCTGAAAATGATTCTGTAGTTGTACTGGGACCCACTTGATCCCTCTTTTTCCTCCCTGCGGAAACTGACGGCCACCGGCCCCAAACGCTCGTCCATGCCAAAGAAATTCTGATGGTCTGGAATAAAAGAGGGAAATGAAGATTTTAACAATTCATACAAAATCCTATAAATAAATGTGAAAATAACAGAAACAAACACCAGAATACTGAACAGCAGAAAAAGAGGAACAGTGATTGTGTAACTTTTAACGGCTCGCTACTGAGATGAACAAGCATGCATTATGGCTAAACTACTGTACAAACTGTATGACAGTGTCAAGAGAGGTTAATTGTGTTCTATACCTGTATTATGAGCGTAACATCCAAAGTGTTTTTTTTTCTCAACATATCCACCTCTACACGATTTTTAAATAGCAAATTATTATTGTGACAAATTAGTGTTACAACCACAGGTGTATTAAAAATGAAGTCTAATATATTCCCTCCTTTTAGATTTCATATGCAACTATTATTACTACAGTACAATGATACATTTGAGTAATTATGATGATGTGTAATTTAAAAAGAATGTCATTTATAAAAATTATTGTAAATAAAAAGACTGTAAATTTGCACATTGCATCCTCTACAATCCTACCCTAGCATTTGAAAAATCTGAAATCTGATTGTACTTTGAAGTGCAGAATGAGTCATCAAAAATGTTAATCTGTACACCCCTAGTTTGAGAACCACTGCAGTAATGCATACATTATCTAAAAAAAGTTACTTTTTAATTATAAAAAAATACAATTATACATCATATATAAAAGGACACAATAAGAGGACGATAAGTGCCACTTCACATTTAACTAAAGGCACTGCTTGCTTATCTGGACAGACAGTCTTCCTGAAAACTGCAGACACAAAAGTCTAGCATTTTAACTTGAAAAATCTCTCTCTTTTTTTTTTTATTCTGTTGAGCACAAAAGCAAGTCTAAAACAGAATGTTAGGGACTGACAGCCTTCTTCTGAACATCTCACAGCACTGAATGTGAATGGTGACTGTTGCGCCATCTGTTGTACTGTTGTGGGTGAATTTGCATTTTGTGAAGCCCAACACATATTTTATGCTAACAGGCCATTTAAATGTCATTCACTTAACTTTTTCTGCACCACATTTGATGCAAATGGGCCTTTTCAGTCAGAAAATTTGGTCTTAGAAGACTAACAAATATAGAACAACAACATATACAAAAACAGTAAGTTGGTTTAACAAAGGCAATAAAAGACAGAAAAAATTTGCAAATATTGCACCTTTATGGTTCCAACAGCTATTCACAGGGGCTTAAAGGGACAACTTTGTAACTTATCTACCATTAAAAGGCACATATTAGTACCTTAGAGTAGTAATACAGTATGTAGAAGTACCCCTTAAGCTACTACTATGAACATTTCTGGGGCAAATATGTTATTTATCTTTAAGGTGCACTTTAGTGCTTCAGAATAGTAATAGAGTATAGAGTAGTGCACAGTATGTAGTAGTAACCCTAAAGGTACTTGTAAGAACCTTTTAGAGGTAACCCTTATCCCTTACCTTAGTGTAGTAATACTGTATATAGTAGTACCCATTAGGTACGTCTACAAACCTTTTAGAGGTAAATAAAGCAAGTACCTTGGAGTAGTAATACTTTATATAGTAGTAGCCTATAAGGCAGTGGTTCTCAACTCCAGTCCTGGTGACCCAGTGCTCTGCACATTTTGTATGTCTTCCTTATTTAATGCACCTGATTCAGATCATCAGTTCAACTGATTATTGCAAAACCAAGTCAATGGCAATGTGTGACCTGCTTGTACAAAGTACACACAGTTACAAAAATCGAATGGTTCTTACGGTATAGTACGCGCATACTATTTTGATGATGAAATCTGTATCATGCACATTGTATGCAGACTCTCGCGTAACTAAACAGATCAATTTTAATGTGTTTTGGCCATTCATTTACACGACAACTGCATTTTGGAGGCTTGAAAACACGAAGTGCAAGTTTTTGAAAATGATATCTCTGTGTAAACTATGAAAACGCAAATTCGTGAAAACGGTGACGTCATGCGCATGCATATTACATGTTCAGTCTATAGGAATACGTATGTGTGCAGATACCTAGTATTTCTTTACAAGGTGACATTGCCAACTACTGGCCTGGCATGCATTATACTGCGTATTCCGTTGTTTTCACAGATCTTCCTCATTTAACACACTTGAGTCAGATCAGCAGCTCCATGAACTGAACTGAATGTGTCAGACAAGTGAGACATACAACTTGTGAGGAGCAGTGGGTCCCGAGAACCGGAGTTGAGAACCACTGCCTTAAAGGTCCCTTTAAGGTGCCTATGAGTACCTTAGAGTAGTAATACTTTATGTAGTAGTACCCCTTAAGGCATGCATGCCCAATCATGTTCCTGGAAATCTACCTGCCTGCAGAGTTCAGTTCCAACCCTGTTTCAGCTAGTTTGGGTGTGTTTGATCAGGGTTGGAGCTGAACTTTGCAGGAACGTAGATCTTCGGAACCAGGATTGGCACCCCAGCCTTAAGGTACTATGAACCATTTAGGGGTAAACAAGGTGGAAAGATGTCCCCCAAAGCACCCAGTGACAAGCTGTTGTGCCCCAAAAAGTATGATTTTTGCACATTTTTCTGAGAGTAAAGTAGACTAAGCAATGAAAATAAGTAGGGCTGCCCCCCTAATAGTCGACTAAAGCCGCGGTCACACTAGACCTTTCGTTCCATTGACTTCCATTCATAAGCATGCGACTGAGTCAGACCGGAAACGCAAGCCCGTGCGAAGATATTTCGCATTTCGCTGCGTAGAAAAGTTAAAGTTTGGTGAACTCTGACCTGTGAATTCGCATCACGTGATACCGTGTGACCAACGGCAGATCGATACGTCACAGCATGACCTCTTATCTGAATTAAAAGAACATAAATTTAAAACTGCAGTGCTGCAGGAAAGTAGAGTGGATCGTATGCTTTTACATTTTAGATGTATTATAATTTGTTACATGTTGAATTTAAGTTTTTAAAAAGAGTCTCAAAATCTAGTGTGAACGCGGCTTAACAGTTAGTTGGCGAGAAGAGGCTTAGTCGATCAAAATTTTCTTAGTCGCAGAAAAAGAAAATCACAGAAAGTGGCAAAGTCAAGTAGTCCATGACGGAAAGATTATTAACAGCTGGTCTGTGCGGTAATTACAGTACATCAGTCAGGACATGCAAACGTTCATTTCGTTCATCGACCTCAAACGTGGCTTATCATCTGAAACATGTAAGTAACAGCATCATTACATGGCCGCTAGCTTTAACGTTAACCTAGAAAAATGTGCACTATTGAAGTGTTTGTGCGGAGTGTGGAAGCTGAACAGTAGTGCGCTCACTGCATGACAGTTAACTTGGAGGAGCCGGTGGGATCATTTGCATTTAACTTAAAATTTTACTCCGTCATTTTTGCTCATACAGATAAGAATAATACATCCTTTGAATCTGAAAAAGGTCCACTTTCGTGTACGCGCACTCACAATAACAACAAAATGTTGTGCTTTTGTAAAATAATGAAAACAAACAGGATACGCTTTCTGCCGTCAAGGTCTCTGTGAACTTGCGTAAATAATTAATAAATAAATAAATAAAATGAACCAAAACTCCATGCTTGCCTCTCAGACATGAAAAATGTATCAACAGAGAGCAAAATTTCTACTTTTAAATGAACCAATTCAAATGGAAAGCAAATATTTTCAGATTATGCAATCCGTAGGAAACGTGAACGTCCATTGTGGAGACGACGAGTCAGTGTCGTCAACTTCATCTCGTAAGCCAAAAATACAGAAAACACTTGTTTATCAATGAATTATTATAATGTTAAAGGCACAATATGTAAGTTTTCGTTGCTAGAGGGCACATATTCAAAACAAACAAGAAACAAAAGCGTAGTTTGATGATGCCGTGACTGAGTGTGGAATCATGGGTGTTGTCGTCTTCATCCCCACAGCCGATGCAATCCGATGGGACTCGGGCAGAAATCATGTTCATTGATGAGCTAATGTATTAAAGACTTATTAAGGTAACTGTAGTATGAAGTAAGGTGGGGCTAAAAGTTGTGGAAGCGAAACGAGGCCGCTGGAGTGATTGCTAATGAAGGACGAGCGCAATACATGGCTCGATAGCAGCAGAGCTTTTATTATGCCACAGTCGACCACTTCCGCTTCTTCCGGTCATGCGTATGTGGGGTAAAACAGCGCTGTTTTATACTAGATACATTTGAGTGTATTGAAATTTCTGTTATAATGCTACTCTGTGCGTTCGTCATCTGTCTAATAAAATGCAACATATTAAAGTGTCTTTGGGTTTTCCACGTCTTCAACAAAATAAAACCGGAAAAATCGAAGGGTTATGACGTCATTGGCAGGCGACGCAATGACACAATGGACACGGTCTGTTACACTAGTTAAAATTGCTTATTTCTCTGGATTTAAACATTCTTCAAAACATTTGGGATAATGTAAGTACACAAGTCAGCAAAATATATAACACTGTTCTAGTGGTTTTGGGATATTTTAATAAAAAAACTTACATATTGTGCCTTTAAGGCAGTCTTCTTGCTGTTTTCTCCCTAAATCATTCATAATCATTACTTCTGTGGTGCGCTGTGGCAAGCTTTATGTGTGCGCTTGAGCACTTATAGGCTATAGGCAATTAAAGGATCATTATTATGAATTATATGGTTTATTAATATAAACGTGCGATTAGTTGACTAATCACTTCAAATGAACAACTATTAGTCAATCAGAAAATATTTAGCTGATGGAAGCCCTAAAAATAAGTATGTGATATGTTTCTTCAAAAAGTGCAAACATGCTTCGCCACACACACACTCTCACCTTTCATGTAAAAGTACTTGTGATAGTACCGAGCCCCCAGGTCTGCATGCTCTATGAAGTAGTTACTTTTCCCCTGTGCCTGGACATGGCTTTCCCTGGGCTCCTCTAACACGGACACAGCATTGTTGGGACTTTGAAGACTCCTCCACCTGTGCCTGCCGGCCCGCTGCAGGCCGAGCCCCACACTCTCCTCGCCACCCATCTCATTCCGAAAGTGAGGACAGCTAAGCAGGAGATCATTATCGTTCCCATCTCCTTCGTCCAGCAAGGACTGCTCTAGATCTTCCGAGCCAGTCCCGCTTCCCGAGCAGCCCCCTCCGCCCTGAAAACATGAGGAAGGTGTGGACTGTGAAAGCGGACGGAGTTGAGAAGCAGCTGACGCTCCGGATGTGATGTTCTTCTTGCGCCCGATGCTGTCCCGATTGGTTGCAGCCTCCAACAGGTCGAAGAGGATACTCTGTACATCATAGTGTGCAAAATTGCGCACCCAAGCACCACCTGAGACTTGGTCACAGGAAAACTGAGGGGCCTGCATAGGGGACGGTTTGGCCTTCTTCCCGAGCCCCTCTGGTTTGGGGGGCTTGACCGGTTTTGACGTGTCTGCTGCTGGGGCACAGTTTCCTTGATACACGCCGTCCACCTCAGGAGGTGCCTCTTGCAGACCCAGCAGAAGAAATGGATCTCTGAAGCGCAAGGCATTGGGACTGAGAACACCTTGATCTTCCAAACTGGGATCTACAGTCTGGGTTTGTCTTTCAAGTGAGGACAGGCTACCATACTCTCGGTGGAGGGACTCAGCGGTCCCAGATTTGTCGCACCCTACTCGGAGCAACTTCCTCCCGACTTGCCCCGCTGAATCCAAATCTCCAAGGGTGACGTCACTGTTGCTGCGCTGCATTATGTGTCCACGACCTACTGTCCTCAGATTCAGCGCAGCTGCACTGGGTGTGACACTCTCGCTGTTTGTTCCCTCTCCCTCTCTCCTAGGGGGCCATTCTAACAGGACTCGTGTCCGCACGCTACCATCATCCTGCTTGGGGTCAAAGTTCACTCTCACTAGGGGCGGGCGTGGGCTCTGCCTTCGAAACTTGCGGATGAAGAGATCGTCTGACTGCATGATTTGAAGTTGTGGGAAGCTCTGACTTTTCAGTTGCCCTTGCCCCTTTTCTTATGCCTTCGCACCAATTTACTGCATCTGTGTGAATAAGTCAGGAGTTTTTGGGGAACTCAAGTGACTGGCACAAATGTTTCTTGTTCTAGCCATGAACACTGAAATTCTCCAGCACTGCCAGCAGATCTCCGTTCGATAGGTTCCTCATTCACTAAAATATTCAGAAGGGCTGAGCGCTACCTTCTGCCTTGGAATAAAATAACAGCCGTGCAGGCTCCAGAGATGATTTCAATCTCTCGGTAAACATCTTAAGTTCTGACATACTGGATTACTCTCATCATAAATGTTATAGGATGCATCCAGCAGAATGACTATGACTGTATGTGGACTGACTGAAATTGGATTCCCAGTCTGGTTTATTCTGAGTCAGGTACGCCTTGTGACTCTCTGTTCGTGGCCGACCAACAAGCTCTGTGCCCTTAGAGACCACGCCTGCATCCTCCACTGTATTCCTGAAACACAATGAAACAGGTTATTATTAGTTTGTATGCAATAATAGATTTTACATTTTTTGTAAATTACATTGTTTGTGTTGCATGGCAGTACATTATATGCTGTGGTAAAATCTGCTTCACCACTTGTTGTATTCTGCTGTACTCTGTATCGATCTGTGCGGCTATTAGTGGGGACGACTGCTTTAAGTTATTTATATGAGAGTGGTTTGTTGATTGACTTTAAACAATCACTTACTTCTTATATTAAAAGTGGTCAGACTTTTGTCATGTGGACAAGGTTTAACAATCCGACACTACGCAGAAAACGTTCTGTGTACTGCGTACTGTCAAACAGCTGAAGATGGAAATATGAGTAACCTCTTTTCCCAACTAATAAAGCACACAGAGTATTATGAGAGGCAAACGTGCTGCACATTCAGTGATCCATTTAAGCATAAAGCAATAAGATCTGTGCACACGTGTTTTGTGAAGAGTGTTTGCAGTATGAAAGATCATACTCTTCAGTGGTCAAAATACTTGCCTTGGTGAGTATTGGCACAGATGTCTTGGTAATGTAAACATGCCAAAAAAAAAAAAACTGATATGTTTAATGAAATCCACTAACTGTGGCTGGTTAACTTTAGTAGCTTTAATAAGTTATATGTGAAGTAATATATGAAAAAAAGTTACTTGAATAGTGAAATTATTCAATAACTTCACTGCTGGTAGAAACCTGAAAAACTGTATCCCCTTTTGGCTTTATTTGTTCTACTGCTTGTGATTTGGCTGTTCTTATTTTATTACTAGATGTTTGCTTTTTACTTGTCTTTAATAAAAGCTGAAGTTTTTGCTTAGGTATTAAAAATCAGTGGAATCTTTACTGGTATTGACTTCTGAAATTGTGCTATTTTGTTAGATAGGCCTACATCTATATTCCCAGCAAGAAATAACTACTATATAGTGATATATATACAGTAACTGTCAAATAAAATTACTAATAGAAAGATATAAAGCTCTGGAACAGCATTTCGCAAGAAAAAAATATATTTTGAAAATAATTGCCAATTTATTATGAACCCATTCAATTCTCTGTGTATATGCTCCAGTGTAAGGCTGGGCGATATGGCCAGAATTATTATCACAAATTTTTTTTTTCTATATCACATGATATATCGATATTTATCACAATATTCATTTACCATTAAAGGGGTCATGAACTGCATTTTTTTGTATTTTATAATGTTCTCTGAAGTTCACTTATAATATTAGTGTGATTTTACGTAAAAAAAAAAACATAATAACTTAGAAGTAATAGGCTATTTCCTATCCTGTTTTCTACCCTCTCTGCAGAACGGTCTGTTTTTATAGGCAGGGCACATTCAAGACTCGCAAGTAAATGCCCACTGCTATATGATTGGCTAACAGTTTTGCTTATTAAAATAACAGATGGACGCTGCTGTGATGAACTCTGAAAACAACATGGGTCATTTGAGTTAAAAACCTATTATTACTCAGTATATATCAAACAGTCTGAAACAGACAATGCAATAGTGGTAAAAACACCTTTACTTAAGCTTATGTGTTGCGACATTACTACTGGATCCAAAATAGTCAGACTCAGCACTGCACTATCTTTTACTTTCAGTCTCTCTGAAAAGCCTGCATCATATTGTCTTGTTAAAAATCAATCCGTAGTAAAGTAAAGCAAACAAACAAACAGTGTTTCACTGATGCGATCTGGAGCTCTTTATTAATTTTACCCCGTGTTTAGTCAAAGTCTGCTTTATTGTCAATTCTGCCACATGTACAGCACATACATACAGAGAATTGTTTACACCGGACAATGTAAACAAAGTGTCGTTTACACCGGACGTGAGAGGAACATCAAGACTATACACAACAGAACCAATTATAATCAGCAATTCTGTTTACACTGGTTGCAGCACAGACTGACACAACAAATCTCTGACAGTTAACTAATGTCGCGTTTTATTTCTGACACACTCCAAGCATTTGTGCTGCTTCTGACCTGAAAGAGAAATGGATGCGCAACAGCGCTTGCGTCTGATCTAGATACGGTGTTAGGATCACAACAAAGGCAATTCAATTACTATTTTTCACAACTTAATGTGCTTGCACACTGAATCCGAAATTTTCGCATGCGTTTTTCCGTTTTTTTGTGTTTGTCATTCTTTCTTATCAAAATGCATGCTACGGATGCGAAAACGCAGAAAATCAAACCTGATCCGAATTTTTTTATGACGGACGAAAGTTTCGGAGGCAGTGTGAAAACGTGATTGACACAACATGAGGTCGTATTTATTTTTTAACGCGCAAACATTTCGGACTCAGTGTGCAATGACCTTTACACTACATTGTGTCTTGTAATCTTGTAATGTCATCTTGTATGGTTGTGTTGATGGCGTAATCCTGTGTTTGCACCTCTCTAGTATTTCCTCTCCTCCTACTACAAGTGTGTATCAGTGGGCGGAGCTAAGCAGGCAGCGATGTAGAAGTAGGCATTGATCTTCTCCCGTGGAGGCGGTGTTTAGCCACACTATTATGTCATAAAGTGGCACATTCCAAAACGAGTCGTTTTCTGGGCTTGGTTTCAATAAAAGCTGTTTTTAAACTAACGAGAAAGTTTTGAGTTTTGAAACTTACAGGATGTTTTTATGATACACTGACTTGTTATATGTCAAAAGATCAACTGATATTTGATTTCTCAGTTCATGACCCCTTTAATGAGGAAGGTAATGCTTTCCACATATTTGCTAAACCTTGAAAATGAATATAAAAATAACTAGTTTGCTCACAATTAAACTGCACAAAATAACCTTTTCATTCAGAGCCCCATGAAATACAGTTTATTTTCCACTAAATTATGCTTTCTGTTTATTTTGTTCTTCTGAATTCTGTGTTTTATGATTTAATACCATTTTATAATTAAAAATGATATCTAATGAAAATCTAATATTTAATTCACAACAAAAAAATGCATTTTTATTTTTTGTCAAATAAGATGCTGCATTGCAGAAGTGTATAAATTAAAATATGGATTAAAAATGTCTTGATTTAAAAATAATAATGATAACAATAATAATGATGATGATGATGATGATGATAATAATAATAATACTTTGAGAAGTACATTTTATTATACAATAGTAATATATTTCTGTCATAATTTCTTAAGTTAAACCAAACTTTTATTTTGGCAGGATGTCATGAAGATCTTTGAGTTTCAGTGTGTTTTTGACACGTTTTTTCTCAAATGAAACAGTGTAAAGCTGGTGAACTGATTCACAGAGAAGACCTGGAAGTAAAGTTCATGTGTACATGTCCCCATATACTGAGGTGCAGATGCTGAAAGCAACATGAGCAAAATGTGAGTTTGAGTTTGTGTATCAGATGAAAATATGCCACTCATTTACACAGAGACACACAGAAAATGCAGACTTATTACAGTAGCTACATGCACTGACTGGCTGCTGTCACATTTATTTCTGCTGTTACATTAATCCATATTGAGTACAAATGTCCAGAGCTTATCATCATTATTTCATCACAATCTCGATATGATATTGTTTATCGCCCAGCCATACTCCAGTCTAGGCTTTGTTTGCTCCAGTACACATATTCTAGTTCCATTTACTAAGTAAATTCACACAAAGCATGTTAACCTTCCCTAGGCAGTGATGGACCCTGCAGAGGTGACACAAGCATCGGCCTATAGCTCAGTACAGAGCACAGCTGGTCTTCTTACCACTTACCTAAAAGATTAAGATTTCAAGTGAACTGCCAAATTAAGATGTAACCAAACGTGCCCCGTTCCTAATTTACACACACTGACATACAATTGATTTGAACTGCATATACAGGCTCTTTTTGAACCAGGGACTGCTCACATTAAGAACAAAGGCAACAACAAAAGCCATGTATGAACTTCAATGTTATATGTACACTCTACATGTGGCTGTGTAATTGAGCATGTAATACCAGATACACACATGTATCTAACAAATCATGCACATTTGTCTTGCAATAAGGGGGGATAAAATCACAGGCCTATTTAAACTCCACAGCAAACATGATGTGGTTGCTAAGGTAGAACACTTTTCATTTTTATACACTTCCTTTCTGTCAAAAATAGCATAGAGACTATGGCGTACATCACACCACATCCACCCAGCTGACCTGCACAATAGCTGCTCTGCTCACAGGAGGAGGGGGCTTCCTGCAAACTTTGCCAATACATCGGCAAGTACTCATAAAATATGTAACATTGTTTGCCAAGATTTTTAAGTCCAGGTTGCATGATTTTTGCCTTGCTATTTGCTTCTGCACACACCCTCTTTCAGGATCTCTATATATGCATTCTGGTTTCTTGGGGAAAGAAGGAAAGGAAGATTAATGTCACAGACACATGCCTGATAATGTTTATTTTAACAACAAAACTTAATCTCATCTGAAATATTATGGTGCCCATTGTGCAAATGATTAAAAAAAAATAAATAAAAAAAAACTATGGCAAGCAGTTTTGTATTTTAATGTCACCAGTGTTCTTTGTTGCAATTTAATTTTGACAAATAAAAAAATCATGCTGCATTTGTAAAAAGCCTATTTAAAACTGGGTTTTTCAATGGCCGATGCCGATGCTGATATTTAGAAATCAGGGCAGCCGATGGCCGATATATGATGCCTATTTTTTGGCCGATATGTTTGGCCGATTTTCTTCCCCCCCCCCATCTCATAAAAGTGAGTTTGAGTAAATGATTATTGCAGGGTACAAGATAGTAATAGTAGTAGTAGCCTAATTCAGAGTAATAATACATGGCTCAAAACTTAAGCACCTTCTCAAAACAGTTCTGAAGCATGCTTTTTGTTTATGTTTTCTGATAGACACCAGTGTTTCCCACAGACTTGCAAACGCAAATCCATTCTCCGCCAGCAGGAGGCGCTGTTGCAGCGGGAGATATAGCGGTTTCCCCGGTAACGGCTGTAATCAAATAAGCACT